ACTGCAATATAAGGATCTCCAGCCGCAGTGATTCTTGTGATCAAGTTTGGAGCTTTATAATCTTCAGTAAAGTTACGCGTTTAGATGAGCAGACTTCAATGCTGTTTGAGCAAGAGCAGGTTAGGGAAGCACAAATGTTTCACTAGTACAGTGAACACCTTTTTTCAATGGTGAAGAAACTACAGAACTAGTCACAGATACAAATATCGTGAGATTTTTTCTTTTGACAATCATATTTTAACTTCTCATTTGTTTCATTATAGCAAAGAGTTTATCCATTCACTCAACTTTGAAGATAGCTGACGTGCTCTGACAGTTAGGTTAATGGCTAACTGAAAAATTTTCTAATTTTATTAACTGCTTTTCATCGCGCAATTCCCATGAGCTCCCATGGAATGTTTAGAGTATATGACACACGAACCGATTGAATAAGAAGTGTGTCAGTTCCTAGTCCAAACTCAGTGATACTGTCTGAGGCTGATCCAATGCATTTCATCGTATAGATCTCATTTACTCATAACATGACAGCAAAATAAACTGAGCAACATACTATCCTTTGGAACTATGCGTCGCTTACTCTAAGCCTTTGGTTAAATAATCAACAGCTTGCTTCGAGACCTACTATAATCTCTCGCGCACCGAAATTGTTGCTTCTCCGATGATCTAATGTAGAAATGCGAATACGACTTGTACGGTGGCATAACAAGCCTTGAGCATGTTTTTGGGAAAAAGGATGATGTTATAATAAAATGAGAGTTTGGGATTATTGTGGAACTGGGCTATCATATCGTATCTCTACTGTATGTACGTGATGTCAAAGCTTCAAAACTCTTGACTAAACGCTTTTCCTCTATTATCAATAGTAACAACAGTTAATGCGTTTTTGCCATTTACGTTTTGATTGCCATCATCTTATAGGATCTCTCAAACTTTACATACGCATAGATTATGATGTTCGAATCGCTTAGAGATGTTGTCCAAACTCATCGTTCATTTTTCGAATTCCGTCAAAAAGAAACATCCGAAGAGTCTGAGATTTTTTCATTCGTTGTGCCAAGTTAGAAACTGTTGAATTCCACCTGTCTTAATTGTCTCCACTTCCTTTGTCTATCAATTCTACCTTCTCAAAGTGCATAGAGAGGTCACACGGTAGACATCTAATTTATGTTGGTTTAGGCAAGATTCCTGTTACTTCTCGGTCTTGTTCCGCCCTCTTCCAGTCTAACAAGATTGTAAATTACGAAGTATAGTACACTAGCGTTAGACCTTTAGTTCGTACTCAATAAGCATGCAAGAGTAAAATTACTATAATTGAGCATAGTTGCGTGCATCGAGAACTGTGCCGATTTGTTTTTGAAAACTTATAATTCTATTATGTACGATTTCATTTTGATTTTTCTAAAGTGAAATACAGCTGTTGAGCCTACTGAGGATCTAGGACAAATGACTCGTGAAACTGAAGATTTCGTATCACATGATTACTGGGCCCCTTTTTTCCAGATTCAAACTGCTTGCTGTTAAGCAGGAAGTGTTCGAAACATAGCCAGGAAATCCAAATAAGCATATCGTCGGACTCGCCTTGAAACGCTGATTTCAAATATTCGTTTATTATCTGCCGAGCGACTATCTGGAATGAGACACGAGTTCGAATGTGCGGATTTCTAAAGAATTCTGTAACTCACGTTCCACGAAAAACGTTTTATAAACATTCTTCAACTGTGAGCCACACAGTTTCTTAGGTTGTCTTTATTTATCCAATCACGGCCACATTTCAGGCCTCCGAGGAAGACGAAGGCGTCGAAACGTTGAGCTGTGACTGGATAAATAAAAACTATCTAAAAACCTGTGTGGGGCTCAGAACACTTGAAGAATATATAAGACGGTTAGGTTTGAAGTAAGCGAAACATGGAAACTATTGAAGGACGCATGAACACTTACTTTTTCTTGGTAAATGTGCTTCTTCCTCGTAACTGGAATACTCCTAGTCACTTATTACGCTCTCAGGCTGTTTGCAACAAATTTTCGTTGGGACTCGAATAAATTCTCATATCAAAGGCTCATAATAACTCCTTCCAGATAGTTCGGCAGATAATAAACAAGTATTCAAAATCAGCGTTACAAGGCGAGTCCGAATATACAGGTTTGAAATGGCTGAGTCAACTAACCATTTCTCGTAAGTGCGGTAAATAAATGTTTCGATGGTCATGTGCTCTCCCAAACATGGTGTTTTACAATCGCCCCTTCTTTATTATGCTTACATACTCAAAGGTTGATGTGATGAATAGAGACTTGAACCTTTTTTCACATAAAGAATCTTTGCTGGATAATAGCGAAAATTCCCAAATTTCGTAGCCGATCTAAAAAATTCGGCAAAATTTTGAGTGGTGCGAAGAACTAGAATTAGGAAGTTCGCATTTTTTTGAGTATCAAGATTACTCGTACTGAGCAACATCTGCTTCTAATCTTCTGTTTTGTGGAACTCCGTCAAGAGTTATCCATAACCTTCCGCTAAGATCGGTGTTTCATCGTTTCCTAGTCCCATAGCAAGGAATTTACTTCAGTTATTCAAGAAGCTTGTGAACAAATTAGCGGAATTGACTGCGTTGAGTTGGACCTGACTTGCGGGAACACCGCTGAAGGGTTACTAGAATAAAACTCCACACAGCAAGGTTGAGTTATGTTCCATCAAAACCGCCATTGCTGTGTACCGATGGATGATTCAATAACCAAACAGGGCATCGCTTAGTTGAGTACATATTTTGTACCTTTTTCATGTATATGACTTTAAGAAATACTCTTTAAGACAGTTTCATCTCCTCAGTGGTGTTGGTGGTGGTTCGTTCAAACAGGACTTGCTGTTATTGTTCAAAGTGTTATTGTTTGAGACGACAGTCTTGAATGAGTAATATCGCGCCTAAGCATCAAATGCCAATCATAACCATCAATCGTTCTTTTTTTTATTGGACGATTCGAGTCATTTGATCAACCCAACGTTTTTTCTCGATTTCTTTTTTTTTTCGCCCTTCGGCACGTAGGTTTCGCGCAAATATTGCGCAGTGTTTTCCGCAAAGATTAAAACTTCACCGCCTACTTTTTGCTTTGCGGAGGGAGATCTAAGAATAAGTCCTGCTCCGCACACGTGATACGACTTATAACGAAATTCTAATAAACTTTGCCCCGCCTTCAATCAGCGTAACCTCTTCCTCACCATTGTTATTTGCTTGCATTCGAAGAATAGCCTGCTCCTTGTCACCAAGAAGATTTCGATAAATTCTTGCTCTAACAGTGCGCTTGGCTGACGCTCCAACGAGGAAGATTCCAGTAGAGCAGAACGTAGAGCGTGACCACCAGAATGTGAATTGTGGTTTTCACGTCACCTAGCCTTTGATGTATCTTATCATCACATTCCATCTACACGCGCCTCTAACTGAGAAGCTCTTGCAAGAGTCAGGCGCTCATGGCTCGAGCTGTTTATTCCTCTGAGTGCATCCTCTGGTTCATATCCGCTTCTGTAGGTGGAATTTAGCTCACAGAAGTTCACCTAGTCGATGGCAATTGAAGGTGATCTGCCAGCGGATAGAGCTTAAAATGCTGATCTTAGATATACTTTCAAGAGAAATGCGAAGCGATCTTTCAAAAGAGTTATAAGCTCTTCTTATGTCAATTTTCCGCATTTCAAATCGCAAAGTCACGGTAATTCCCTAGAAGTATGTAAGGTCTATCCCTGGTGTAGATCATCTTCCAATCGACAAAAAAATTCCTCTTATCAGATAAATGAAAATCAAGACATAGCCAACTTCGCATTGGCTGTTATTCTCTGGTTCATTTTCTAAGTTGGACTAAGTCTTGCATCACAAAAACCCCAAATGTCTGCCAGTCGCGTAATGTCATGAATTTGGCTTGGTGGGCCTGAGGAGAGAAAATTGAGGCTTCCAAGTCGCTTACTTGCATATTATTAGATGTGTCTTGTTGAGCTGAACTTAAATATAATTTCCATATCTGCTGGCTGTTCTCCAGAAGAAGTTAGAGCGTTTGTGTATGTATGGTACCTATGGTAAAACAGTGCACACCTTCAAGAACTGGTTGTCAAAACACTTGTATATGTTTCCGGTGAATGTGTACATTCTTTGGAGTCAGTACACTCACTACCATGCTTGTATTGCACTCCCAAGCTGAATTTTAAAGCGCTTTGCTTTACATTCCTTATAACTTCACACTTTAACTGCTCACAAATTTTTAAAGAATAGCTCAGCGGTAAAGAAGGTAGATTTGAAACCGCTTTTCAAATAGCAATCAAAGTTATATTTTATCAATTGGCCACTGCAACTTGGCATGCTCCCCTCGTCAAAATATAAAATCGTGTTCGTGACCCGCGATACAAGATCATAAGCTTATAAAGAGAAACATTCGATAGTATTCGTCAAATTTTGTTCGTTAAAAAATGCAAGAAAGCTCGAAATTATCTATCTTGTGTTTTCAAGCCGTTTTAGAAACTTGTGCTGATCAAATGTTCCAATGATCGGCTCTGATTCTATTTCTTCTAGTTTTTCCATTTGATTTCTGAGTTTGTTTTGAACGAAATCTAACATGCAATAACATATAAGGTCCATTCATTACATATTTTATGAAATGGAGCCATTTTTGAACATTTCAAAGTAGATGTTCTATATTTGTTATTGCAAATTTTCTATATTTGTCGAAGATCTCGCGTTCAACTAATGTATCAATGCCTCAATTCTGCGAATGAATTTGCAATAACGCAGTCATCTTGCTTCAAAAGCTCCTAGTACTTGGACAACCTTTTATCTGTCTGTCAAGCGTTTATGTTTTCAAATTTCTGCGGAATAAGCATATTGCCCACAGAATCCTTCTTTCGAACACTCACAAAACCATGACCATAAACATTTTCTCCGAACTCTTCTTTCCAGGGCATGATGTATCGGATACTGTGTAGCGTTTCATGTAGTTTTCTCGTTTTTTCACTTTAACTTTTGATATTTAGACGTGAACAACAACAACAACACAAAAATGTCGACGAAAGCGGTGCCTAAAGGTGGTAAGTATTTTTGTTATTTCGTATCATACTTCAAAACTGAGGCTTTCTCTTATCGTGATTCTCATGTCGTTTCTTTTCTTGGCACGATCAAAAAAGAAAGCTTAGACAAATTCAATTATTGCTAGTATGCCATCCATTTACAAGTTTGATAGGCAGTAGAATATAGCAGCGGGAAAACAAACATTCGTAAGATTTTTAGGAAAAGTACATGAAAGATAATTGCAGATGACTCATCCCAGCTCATGAGGTTGAAACGATTCATGAAATTTGTAAATTTATTTAATGCAAGAAGTTTGTGGGAACGGTTGCCAAATCTTTGGAGAGACTCGGTTTTGTCCGATTAGACAAACAACACTCTCTAAGCTTCTGAGCTGTGAAGGTTTGGATGTTTCAAGTAGATAACACCCCCAAACTCACTAGGGCAAGTCTGGTTGCAAAACACCCTGCGCTTACTTGTATGGTTCTGTTGAGATACTTTTTGTTTATTGGTGCATTTTTTGGGTGAATGGCCTTTGATGCACATAATGAACATCAAAAACTGCCTATGCGACTTGCCCACATCATGCGCACAACTGTAATTGGCATTATGCCCCATACAATAGGATTATAAAATCCCCTCACAGGAGGTGGTGTACTTGTAGGGAGAAGAAGACAGTTACAAATCATAAAGCGCATGAAAGGCTCTCAAAATGAACAGTTCAACATCTAACAGTCAAATCAAGTACGCGGCTACGCTACAGGCCTGAATTTCTCGAGCAATGGGAGAGAAAACATAAATTTCCTTCTAAGTAAAAAGACGAGGTCCATAACATTTTTTCAAATTTTCGAATTTTTCCACAATTTAAAACAACCCTGTCGAGGCGAACGATGAATGGTTAGCTGCAAACTGGAGTTTTCCAGCTCATTGTTTCTCCAGTTGAAGAATTTTAAGCGAAAACAAGCCAAGCATTTCCAAGCCATCAAAGAAATCTCAGTTTTGGGGTGACGAAGAGTGGGGCAGTACTGGAATAAGTTTCGGCATAGTAAAGACTTCTCTAGAAAGTAGTCAATGTAGGTTCTTGACGCTTCTCCAAATTGATGGTGTATAAAAAAACTGTCTACACTACGATTAGGTTTACCTTCCTGTCTAAGTTCAAGTCGGCGAAGGATAAGACTTGAAACTCCTTCATTAACAAAATCAAGCATGTAGAAAGCATACTGAAACATGCAGCCCTCTACCTCTGCAATTGACTGTTGAAGCGATGGAGAAGACATGGCATTACATTAGATTAACTCATAAGCTCCACTCATAAGTTTAGAGAGTGTTGCCTTATCAATTCTGAAAAATTCGGAAGCATATGTAGCTGGTAAGTTGAAGACATGTAAGCATATCGAATTTGTCGTTTTTTTTTCTTTGGGTCTAGTTCTGCTTCTTCTTGTAGAATTTCATTTACTGAGCGGGACTATCTTTCAGGCCTCTGAGGAAGGCATTATTGCCGAAACGTGCTGAATAAATAAAACTTATAACAAACCTGTATGGCAAAACGTCATGGAAAATGTGATTCTTCCCTCCCAAAATTTTTTGGAACATACCTTCGCACTGCCTCTTTTATAACAGCACTGTGCCGTTGATACGTCAAGAACGAGAGGTGAAAAATAAATCGAAACGCTGAAAATTCTTTGAAAATTTTGCTTTATATGTACATCGTGTAGGATTTGATGAAAATAATTTTTGGAAACTTCAAAAATTTCTATCTTAAAGCTACATGGTGTGCTGACATGGCTCTGGCTGTACCGGTGAGGGACCTTTGCATCCCGTCAACACTCCTTATACACAAGAATTTTTGAAAGTTTCTTAGATTTCAACAAAATACAAATAAAAATGTAGAAATCTTCCGCCAACTAATACTAGAAATACAAAGTAATGACATCAACTCAAATCGAGCACTGGCACTGCCCTCAGAAAGCGACAGCGATTTGGAAAGATTGATATACCGTACCGCTCTGTCCTTTCTGATACGTGTTTGACTTTCCAGCAATTCTCATGCGAACTCTGCTCTAACAAAAAATGTCGAATGCGCATTCCTGCAAACACTTGCAGAAAAACTTTTGCAGAAAACTTAAGATATCTGAAAGCTTGTGGCCGACAGAGGATATGGGCAGTAATACATTCGTTTTAGTCATACTTTTGAAAACGACTACTTGGTGAATTTGCGGACAAAATTTGAAATTCTTTTTCGACATTCGCGGTCCAATAGCAAAGTGATAGTAGTGATATCGGCAAAGTTTCACTTGGGACTGATAGAGTAAGTTCACGAATTGAAACAACATCCTCTCAGCATTTTACTCTACTTTCAAGGGGTTCTAGAATACTACAATAAACGATTAGTGCATCCTCATAAGGGCGCGATAAGAGTGGCACCTTTTAGTCTGCTTCATATCACTTCTTGTGGGAAAATTGACATAAACACAATCCATGTAGAATCGTCACCAAAGATGGAAGCGAATGTTGAGGGCTATGGAGCGTGTGGTCTTGGAAATTTGGAAGTGATTTTTGGGACTTTCTAAGCTGGGTCAAGTGGGAACCTCGAAACTCAAATACGCTTGCAACTGAATCGTACAAAAATCGTTTTAGAAGTTGCAAAGGACGGTTCTGCACGAAATTTAGCACTTCAAACACAAACAACGAAAAAACACATTACACTTGCATGAATTCAGTGTTTACTTTGTGGAAAAATATGCTTACCGGAAGCTGGAAGATCTGGATAAAAAGCAGTCTGTGTACACATCATAGCATGACTTTAAGAGTGTGAACGCGAAGTCGGAACTACCCACAAATGGGGATGGAAATGCTTCGGAATAGATTCTAAAGTCCTAGATGTGCGCATCCCACCTGCGGACCGCTGAGCGTAAATTCAGAAGTGTATTATTTGAAGATGTTTTTTATCGATTTTTCCGCACTTCCACATCACTCTAAAAAAACCTAAGCAGCTAAACCCTGTCCTTCCCTTCCGCCGCAGCGTGTCCTAAAAGCTGCAGAAAAATGTACCATCTCCAATTTTCGCGTTGTGGAGTTACATTTTGTCTACGGCAACGAAATGGTTCAAAAGGCAAACTATAGGTTCTGAAAGTTTCTTCTTTTTTTTTGAAACCGCTATAAAACCACGCACAATAAAGCCTAAATGAGTTTCAACATGCATTCGATGCAGCTTTTCCTTCTCTTCCTTATGGTTACATTTCTTAGCCAGAACTATATGCTTTTTTTTTGATAATTGCCACATTTCTTCATCCGTCAATTTTATCTGCACAAAGTTAGGCTAATTTTCCAAAAATTTCATTCCAAAGTTTCGGAAAGGATTAAGTATGGCTCAAATAGAACAATTCTCGTCCTATATGGAAGTATTCTTAGATTCTCTTAACCCGCTGTTTCTAGTTTAAAAAATATTTAATGCTTTAAAAAATATAAAAAATATCTCTTCGAAGGTCTCGATTTTTGGCTAAGTCATGAAACACGCAGCTGCAACAAAAACATGAAAGCCTTTGAAATTTGTGTGAATTGAAACTTGATTGCTAATAAACATTATTTATGCAACGTAACCAAGTTTAATTTGCTTTGAAAAATCAGTTTTTTGGAATTCTCGGAAATTGTACGTGGTAGACGTAATCAAAGAGCCGCGGTTTTTCTTGAATAAATAATTATTTAGGCTTGGTAAACGTGGCCCCTGTAATCTAAATAAGCACAATGTAGCTAATCTGCTCTACATACCAGTTAAGGGCACTTCAAAAATAGCGCGAGAAGAATTTTTCAAAATTCAAGGAAGATTTGGCGTTACTGTTGAGCTGCTCAAAAAGCCATGGAGATAAGACCGCAAAGACAGAGTAGATAAGAGAGTAAATATAGCTGTAAGGAGGAATAATATGAGTCAAATGATACCTAGATCGTACATGGATTGGTGTTTTGTGGGCTTTAGTGAGCAATCAAAGAAACCGACAAAACTTTCAGGACAATCTAATATAATGAAGTGGCACAATGCTAAAATTCTAAATCATGACCACCCAAGTATTGTAGCGAAACATCACTAAGCAAAAGATCAAATCCTTCAGTCTAAAGTCCGGGTGTTTACCACCACTATCAGGGAGTCCACTATTTAGTAAGATGTCAAGTCATTTGTCTGACGTAAAGGCCTAAACTTGAAATGTGATTGCCCTTCCTGGTCAGTCTGGCCATTATTTTGGATAAACAAACAGTATTGATCTTTCTACACATCAGACACGATATAGGGCTGTGCTTGAACGTGAAGGTCGGGTGAGCTTCGTCCATTTCTCGCGCAGTATGCCATTACTATTTCTATAGCTTCTCGTTTCAAATGCTACCCTGCTATCAGATGTTAGCTTCCATCATTCGAACTACTTAAGAATTTCGGGGTGATCTTATTTGTTTAAGTGGTTGAGGGTTTTGTGGCCTTCTGCACAGGCAACGTCCAGTCGACACGGCCTTCACGATCTGGCAAACCCCTATAATAATCCTTTCCAGTAAAAGCAAACTTTGTGTCTGAGAGATCTTGCTTCCTTGGCTGCAAAGGAAAGGTGCAAAGCGGTCAATCCAGCCATTACGAGCTCCACCCTTTTTTCTGCAAACATAAGCGCAGGCCCTATCGATACAGAGAGTACCGGTCGTTATTTAATTGAATTTTTGCACGGGAACGTGTAGTTCGTGGAATAGGCAAACATGTGCATTGACAATTCGAGTACGTTTTAGTGTACATGTACTTGTATTTGTAGTAACGCTACGATAAATACACAACTCAAGACACTAGCATGTGTTCATCAACTACAAGCAAACTTTTCTTCTCCTTGACCTTTCTTTCTTGAAGGCAGCAGCTGGCCAAAACCGAACATCTCGAAATTTTGAGATGAAGGTTACTTGCATCTCAAACATGAGAATAAAGGTGCTCCGAGTGCACAGTATCTGCCCCTGCCTAGCAAATTGCCTTTAAATCCGTGCATGCAAGTCATTTTTACATGCGCTCGGACGAGCTTGCGATTTCGCTTCCAGCGTCGGAATCGGCACGCCGCAATCTTATCACCATGAGGGTCCCGCAACGACTCTGCGTCCCAGCCTTGGCGGGAACCGTACCAAATTCAAAATGGGGGCCTGGAGACGCTTTTCGCCATTTTCACGCACTTCAAATTATATTTTGGGGATCATCGCCGAGTTGCCCACGTAAGCAAAAAAAAATTCTGGTCGAGTATTTACCGAGCCACAGCCTTTAAGTGACATTGATTATCTTGAAAAGATTCGCAATTTTCACTGAATTTATCCTGGTGAAAATTGAAATTTTTCTATAATGATTAGTCAACGTTTAGTCTTTGTAGAAATTGCGCATGCAATTTCTATAGGGTTACAGATTGATGAATTTGACGACTGGTATATGGTCCTAGTGATGGTGACAGAAAGTTCCTAAAAATTGTGGAAATCCCTATGACATATCTTGCTCAAATTCCATACTTCAAAATTGCAAAGTAGACTTTTCAAGAATGAAGCTTGGATAGAGCAATTTTTGTAAAGTTAATGCTATAGATTACAGCTTCCAATGAAAGGATGGTTATTCAGAGTGACGTTTTTTGGTGAAATGTACGCAGTCTAGGAAGGATTAGAACGCTGATTCCATATCTATTATTCTTATCTGCGTGACTTCTTCAAAGGAAGAGTTTTGAGCCTTTTTTGAATTTAAGGATTGAAAGGGTTGCGGAATGACCCCGAACTTCCTTATGCTCGAACATAGCAGTGGCGAATGTCAATTTTTTGGAATAAATGGTCTTTTTATACTACATTCATAAACACTATTGCTTACCTGAACTCCAGAAACATTCGATTTCGTGCAACGGAAAACGCTATTACTTGACGCATTTCATCTGAAAAAGCTACTTCGACCAAGCACCCTTCCTTTGTGATGTGATGTTATAGGTGCAATTATGCTGCATAATAGATGAAATGCTGCCTTGTTCCGTTCAATAATATGAATAAAGTGAAAAAACCTTTAAAAAGAACCGGAGTTTATGTACACTAGGAAACAACTGTAGCTGCACAGTCGTACTGAAAATACGAACAAATGAGAGAAAAGTTGCGAATGCGGCGAAGACTGCTCGCCATTATTTTATGAAAATCGTGACCGATACAGCAAATAACGGAAAAAGGGAAGCCTGCCAATCTTAGCAATCAGCGAAACTACTATTATACATTTTAGATCCATCAAGTAATTAAGAGACGAATGAGCGCACTAAACAGATATACATTTTTGGGACATAAATAGCCGAATTTAACAAATCCTAAGCAAATCACTGTAGAAAAGGCTAGCTTAGAATTCAGTGCTTCATTTGGAGTTCATAGTTGTTTGGAAAAATCTACGCTTTTGATATCTGTTATTGCAGCTAGCGAAAGGGCACCGTTCTTGGAGGATGCCAAGACGATGACGCCGCCCAGAGATAACGTAAGTTATAATTTTATAACCATCAGCTTTGAAATCTTCTGGAAACAGAGCGAAGTGGTTCTGGAATTCTGAAAAATGTTTTACTGATACTACTGCAACATTGCCCTCTCGTTCATCATCAGTGGAAGTGTCCGATCAGTGCGCGCTTTTCCGTCAAGCTAAAAATGTGCTCATACCTGAATAAAAAATGGACCATGTACTGTCACTATCTGATAGTTTTCGGCATAGTTTTCAGCTTGGTGCACTAAAAGGGCGAAAAATTAATTGTACGTGTTAACGCCAAATCATCCCCTAAATTGGCACCGGGTGGGCAGATGCAACCTACTTTGGTAAAAACTGGACTTGCCAATGTTCAAGAATTATTCTACATACTTGATTCCTGCTCCTCTAAGGTAATTGTATAATCCCAATTGATTGATTGTAACATATCATTGGCCGTTTCAGATTTTTTTCTATGTGAGCGGAGGGGGGGGGGGACACAACTTTTCTTATATTAGGTAAAAGGGTCCGGCTACATTACAAAAAATTGATTTGCTCCCATATCAGCTTAAAAATCTGGATATAGCTACGCTTCAAATTGCTGATTTCATACATTGAGCACTCTAAGCGTTATGAATTACGAAAGTTTTTACTTACCATTCTCGCACTTTTGAAATCTCAACTAGTGTACAAGGCATTTTTAGCTCTTTTTCTGCAAGTTTTTGGCCTCATACTATACCGATATTTAGTTTTTCTGTGAATTCGCAACCCTCTGATGTTTATGTGTAGCAAATGTAGTATGCCACCGTGATCTGAGAAAGAACACCACAAGCTGAACTTTTGCTCACGCCATACTGTATTATTTGCTTCATAATCTTCTTTAGTATCTTCTCGTATATTTCATTGCACTCCTTCATGGTATAGGAGTTTTGATGCCATGGAATATGTTCATCACCATAGCCCCTCAGGTGAGAGAACTGCCGTTCCTACGTCTGTACCACTACCTCTATTGTTCCAGTATTACGTCGATTATTGGTTTTCTCCAAATAACACACCTACTGACTATTCGAAGAACTTCATGAGCTCACTGGGGATCGCCTCACAACTGCCCAATGTGCTCATTAACATCATCAACACTTTTGCAGTAATAGGGTACGGATAGTACTTTTGGTTGTAATTTCAATAGTCTTGATTGTCAGAGGTGCTCTGCTTCTACGCATCGCAGGTCCAATCGTGATAAACTGCATCAGCGTTTTCGCAGTGGTGATGTTGATCACTTTTGTTCCGCCGACAGAAGATGGTAAGATTCTGTTTATCAAGCTGAAACATAAGGAATCCGTCATACTGCGCCGAAAAAAGCCCAAAAAAGCCCAAAGGGGCCAAAGAGAGCCGGAACGCCCCTTTTCGCGCGCAAGTTTTGGCAGGGTATGTGTGTAGATTTTTTATTTCATTTTTCGTCTGCACATCAAAATAATGTCAGAATTCTACCAACCAAGCCGGATGAAACTGGGTTCAGTATAACTTAGCAACTATATTTTAGGGAACTGCATTTTATTTTAGCTTCCCATGCAGTCTAACAATTATGTCTTTGTATTGTTCATGATTATCTGATTCATCTTGTCTAGCTCTTTGTCTAGTTCAAAATTTCTCTTTTGTAGAAATTGGCGCCAAGGACTTACGAGCATGGCTCCATCCCGTATCCATCCGGCTTGGAACTTTTGGATTCTGACATTTTTGATGTCAGACGACAGAAACTGAAGCAAGATACGCATTAGCGCGCGAAAGGGGGCGTTCCGGTCCTTTCTGGCGCTTTTAGGCTTTTTTGGGCGCTTGAAGGCTTTTCTCGGCGAAGGATGACGGTTCCTAAATCTTGCACCAAGAACTCTCAGCAGTTTGTTTGAAAGCTATGAATCACACTAATCACATTATATGTATGTTAACTTTATCCCGTACAATGGTGACTTCATTTCGAGAGAATAAAAATATGCGTAAAAATAAAGTAAGAACAAAGTGGAAAAAGATTTTCAAATACTTAACACACTATGGAACATCTGAACTCCGCAAATTTTTCACTGTTTTATGGAGTAGATCATGAAATCAAGCAATACTAAAATCAGCAAAATCTATTCAATCTTTGAGCACAGCAAGCAATTGAAAAAAAGACTAGTGAATTATCAAACTTGTTTCGTGATATGCCAGCAATGTTTCTATTGTAGCTACTGTCAGAAAGCGCACAATTTCCTCTCTTCCAAAGTAAAGAAAAATTACATACTTTCAATTATTTGGTGCAACATTTACGTTCTTCCGAATATGCCTATCTTCAAATCAACTCTCGTTTAGCCATGGGCTGGTTCTACATTCTCACTCTGGTCATCGTAGCCATCCTCAACCTTTCCAATGGTCTTTACCAGAACTCCACATACGGTCTCTTCGCCGACTTTCCAGCAAAGTATACCAATGCTCTCGTGCTCGGAAATAACCTCTGCGGTACTTTTACCACGGTGCTATCGATTATTGTGACTATGAGTAAGTTTCAACCAACTGCAAAATTCAAACATCCAATTTATGAGAACGCTTCTAGTCCTCAGTGACGTACGATCAATCGCTATCACCTACTTTTCCATATCTCTCTTCATCCTCGGCTTGTGTGGTTTATCGCTTATAGTCCTTGTTAGACAGGTAGGCAAAGGCTAGCTCCTGATGAAGGGTCAAGAGTTACCGTCGCTAAGCGGCGCAAGCGCGGTGGTCAGACACTCAACGCCCTGGAGCGCATCAAATGCACAGAATAGGGAGGAACGACCGCTCTCAGGCCGCATTTTCATTACGTATATAACGTCCGCTTTCGTTCGGGACTAGCCTTTAGTCGTAGTGGTAATAATTATGACTCGAATGGAAGGATATTTTAGAAGTTCTACACTTACCACATCGAAAAAGGAATAGCAGCGAGAAGTCAAGCAGATACATCCAAACCAGGATTTTCGCAATTTATAGAATGCTTCAAAATGGTTAATACTTCATTTGGTACTACAGCTTCCATAGACGTTTCTGGAGACTTGACAGAGTTGCAACTTTCCAGTGCTGGGTGCAACTTTTCAACGTCTTCTTCATTTTCTTCGTCAGTCTCACGATATTTCCTGCTATGATGGCCGCCACACCTTACTACATGGAACCAGGGCAAAAGTGGAACTCGATTTGGCCAGGTGATCCGTTCAATTTGATTTTACGTCTTGATTAGCAGTACAAGGACTACCGCATGACCATAATTTCTTATTACAATCATTTCTTCAGTACACCTTTGCTATATTCTAATTAATTTATTCCAGAGCGTCTCTACACTTTCATCACGTGTTTCCTCTCCTTCAATCTGTTCGCCACAGCTGGCTCAATGACTGCCAACTTCATACAAACAGTGAGCAACGTCATAACTGAGTTACAGTCTGTCTCAAGGCAGTGCCCGTTTGTTCGCGGTTATGCATCCGTCCCGCTGACCTCCGATCAATGACGCATTTACGTACTCAAGCCATGCGCGAGCCAGCGCTATGCGAGGCTTCAAAACAGATTGTTAACGTTCATTAATTAACTAGCTTTCTTTTAGCCTCGTCCAAAGTACCTCTGGATTCCGGTGCTCCTTCGAGTTCTCTTCATTCCCTTCTTTATGTTCTGTAACTACAGACCATTCGATAGGACACTACCTGTAATATTCAAATGTACGTTTAGAGTAAGCGGATTGCTTCGTGTTAGACAAATATGTTCCAGCTGAATTCCTATTCCTAATAGGAGGCATTTTGATGTCGTATACATCCGGTTACTTCAGCTCTCTCGCCATGATGTACGCTCCAAGGTAAAAAGCCCGTTTACTTTTTCAGAAGCTGGTCCCGGACGGAGACGGATGCCCATATGAACTAGCCGCATAGAACGTGACGCACGAGTGCTCACGTCTCTTCTGCGAGCTTATGGGTAGGCGCCAGACTTATCCGGTCCAACCTGTTCGGCCTGCTTCACCCGTTTGCTGTTGGTCATTTCAGTAATTTGACCAATAGCAAAGGAGTATATCGCATGAACCGACTGGACCGGATAGATCTGGTGCCTAACAGGGTGTATGTCGAAAGGCGCGCGTTCCCTAAGCCTTCATTGCCAGACTGGGTCAGTTCTCTGCAAAAGCGAGGTTTCCACATTGCGAGATTTTTGTCAGTACATCAGAAAGTATAAAGGAGGATAACCAGTTGAAATCCAATAGTATTAAAATAAATTTTAACTTATTTCTTGCTTCTCCCAGTTAGTAAAAACCGATCAGTGCGCAACTTACGACCGTCTCCCCGCCTAACATGCGCTCTCAATCATTGCTCGACCGCCGCATTCGCGCCGATGGGGCATCCACCTTTGTCCAGGGCTTGCCTTACATGTGTTCAAAGTTCTAAACGCATCTAGATTACGTGATATGATTTTGAGTTGAAAAATCTTTGTTGTTTGCAGGGTATGTCCAGAGCGATACGCAAAGACAGCGGGTATGATGGCAGCCCTATGTTTGATTCTGGGTAATTTTCGTTTCGTAGGAACGTACTCCAAATGACTTCTTTCATTTCAAGGTATATTCTCTGGTGTGTCATTTACGCTAGTTGTCGCGCAGATAACAACATCGTCCTGATCACGGTTGAAGAATGTGCTGGAGAACACTATTATCGCAACTCCGAAGAGCTCTTAACTCTATGCTTTCAATAAGGACTTTAGAGATCAGACATCAAACATTAACTCCTTTCACTTGCTAGCATAGTTTCTATTTTTCAAGTAGAAGCAGTGATGAGAAGAACTTGTAACTATAAAATCAAAATCAACGAAAAAATAAAAATGATTTAACGATTTATAAATGTCATGAGTTTTGACGACTGCGTGATGTGCGCCATCATATAAAAATGGAAAACAAAAAAAGCAAAATTTGTCTCTATCTTCCTATACAACGCAGTTCCCTACTACTCTTCCATCAGCTTCAGTCTGTAGCAAAAACAACACTTCTGAGCGTAGAAGTTTTCCTGTCTCCGATCGTGGGATGAAATCTACGAATACAAGCTTGGTGATCGTTCCCATATTTAGGTCTAGAATATTGTGAAGTTCTCTTTATTTGAATGTCATTCAGTGAACAACCCATTACCGCTAATCAGTTCGTTGAGTTCGTACAGTGTCGGAGGCGATGCATCCTCCGCCAAAACTACGCCTGCCGTCAGTTCATCGTCCATAAGAGAAATCACAACGTCTTCAACACTGGCGTGGCTGAGCAGGACATTTTCGAGTAAAGGCGAGACAATCTGAAATTTGAAATTGACGAGAAAACGCAAAGCATGGAAACAGATACTCATATGCTTTGCGATCATTCAGTCGAGTAGATTCCGCCCAATATAGTGTACTTGCGGTGCCCAGAATTTCGCGATAAAATTTGCGCGGGTAAAGATAGCCACGCCAGTAATGCCAGTATTTTGCGCGCGCACGCAATCGACATTAGAGGCGTACGGTCGATGTAAATCACATGCACCCTTTTCCGTAAGCGCATTGAGTTTCGCGTCACGTTCGCGCGCCTATTGCTCCAGCATTCAAACTGGTCTCATCGATTAGAGGTCCGCGCGCAGGGCCCTTGCGTTGCGCATGCGCAATCCGCATGCAGGGAGTACGTAATTGACTTTGACTGTACCTATTAGTTCACGCACGAAGTTTACCGCAGTTTTTTGGCATCGCAAGTACACTATCTTACGTGGAAAATCTATTCCATAGTATGAATCTGAAACGCACATTAATCAGAAGCTACTCTGCAATGAGCTGCAATTTCAACAATCACATCAGCTTCTAGTCTATTTTCCCAAATCAGACTTGTTAACCCGTCCTCGTACTTAAAAGCAGTGGATCAGCAGAATGGACCCTTCTCGGATTTTGGTGGGTTTAGGTAGTAGACCCCCCCCCCCCCCAGTACACTGTGGCCCAAACCCCACTTGCCAAGTCATGCGCTAAGTCCTGAAAAATGCGCTTCAAAACTCCACCAGCCCCTCGCCCCTTTCCATTGAGTGGGCGGGGCTGGTGGACTTTTGAAGCGCATCTTTTAGGACTTAGCGCATTAATTGGCAAATACGGTTTGGGCTACAGTGTACTTGGAGGGTCTATTACCTAAATCCACCAAAAACCGAAGAGGGTCCATTTTGCTGATCCACTGCCTTTAAAGGCAGGTCCAGGCAAATCTGGGCGCATGGGTTTTCGTCTGGAAATCAATGAGAGGGCCCTTACTAAGGCACTATCCAATGAGCAGCACAAACCGTTCATTCACGGCTGAGAAATCAGTCCCTGAAACCCCTCGCCTGCGCCATGACCGTAACTCAAAACCGATTTCGTTCACTTAACACTACGCGCCGGGACCCATCCTAAGTGTCACGCTACTGCGCAGGTGCGAGGTGTTTGGGATGGATTTCTCAGCTCTGAATTAATCATTTGCGTTGCGGTTTGGGGCTTTAGCTGCTCAACAGCTTCCAGACAAAAAGTCCATATGCCTGGATTTGCCTGGACACTGCCTTCAGATGGGTGACAAATTCAATCTAACCATCATTCAAAGCAAATCATTATTCACCTCAGCGGTGAACTTTTCAAAGTATTCAACAGTAGCTATTAACTGTTACGTAGCAAGTGTATATTTGTAACAACTAGGTTTCGCACTTGAATGAGAAGTGGAGAAGTGAGGGGCTGCGTGCACTAGGGCAGTTTTCAATGCGCAAGCCACAAGTGGTGTCCGCCTTTGAACATGCCATTTGTCGCAAATGCTGTCGTCACTTATAAGCGCTATACCAAGGGTCAAATCTAGAAGACTATGTCCATGCTTGCGATCATGAGTACGTGTCCTCACTATCATGTATACGCTGCTGCATGACGAAGGCACAATGTGCCACTATAGGGCAACTTTTACTCTGGGAGCAAACACAACATGTCGCTAACAACGTTTATTGTGACACTGAGGAAGCTTACAACAGAAGAGCCCCGTTGACCCCCGAACCCGCCCGCTTTACTGCGGGATGATTAATGTATAGGTCGGTTCGGCCACAATACGTAGCAAATGGCCAAACACTCTTTGGCCGATGCACCAGAATTGTGCCACTATAGGGCAACTTTTACTCTGGGAGCAAACACAACACGTCGCTAACAACGTTTATTGTGACACTGAGGAAGCTTACAATAGAAGAGCCCCGTTGACCCCCGAACCCGCCCGCTTTACTGCGGGATGATTAATGTATAGGTCGGTTCGGCCACAATACGTAGCAAATGGCCGAACACACAATATCTTTGCGCGCAACCGCGGCTTTATTAGCCGCAGAGCACATAAGGCGCATGATTTGTAGCGGTGAGGGACGCGCGCGCCGCATTCGCGCCCGCTTAACTAATTCTGCTTGTGCACCTTCGTCATGCAGTAGCCTTTATACAGTCTGCCCCAATCGGGATCAGGTCGAACCGTTTGGCTTTTGCGCGCACGCAGCACTACTTTGCGCTGCATACGCGCGCTGTCGGAGAGAGTGAAGAGATCGAAGAAAGAGCAGGCAAGCATGCCGTAGGCGTGACGCAAAATCCTAGCCACGCGCACTCCCGCCATGCTAATTTTGGTCTGATGGGGATTGGAGCAGATTGTAGGAGTTGAATCAAATCATAACAAAGTATGTGATTGCACAAAACATGCACTCTGCGCGTCTCGTTAATCGCTCCGTACGGGGGTATTGCAGGAGGAATCAAAGAGCTGCCGCTTGTATCCGCAGGAGATAATTGGGAGCGCGAGCGCTCTGGAGAATATTTTGGAAGATTCAAGACTTGGCAAGGACATCTTTTAGATGCCTGGAGATGACTTTGAAAAATTTAGAAAACAGATTTGTAATGCAAATGGAAGGCGTATTCACTGGGCCTAAAAGTAAGTGAAAATTAGGAATTGTAGTATATGAAAAGTCGGCTTTCTTATAGAAAGTTTTTGTTTTATAAATTTGAAAGGTTCAAATTGTTGAAGATCGGAATTTTCATTCAAAATTTGTTATTTCTTCTTTGAGACAAGGAATTAGTAGCCTTCTGACAAGGGAAGTCACTTAACTTAGGTCGGGCTTTTGAAATGAGACACATATATCTAGAAACAGCTCGGAACGCTGATTCCAAATATGCTATCCTTAGCTGCGATGCGTTCCTCTGAAGCAAGTTATGAGCTTTTTTAGTATGTATCATTGACATATAACTGAATATGGAAAGAAGGTCTTTAGATGAAAATCTGCCCAAAAAGTGGTGGAAAGTCAAAATAACATCAAATTGAGTCATTTGGCTTTGATAGGGTATGATATGCATTTGAACCACTACCTAGATGATGATACAGTAGCATGCCCAAGTCGGTCAACACACAAAATTTGCTCAGGAAAAAGCTCATAACTCGCTTCAGAGGAACGCTTCGCAGTTAAGGAAAGCAGATTTGAAATCAGCGTTTCAAGCTGATTCCAACCATATGTGTCTCATTTCAAAAGCCCGACCTAAGTTAAGTGACTTCCCTTGTGAGTTAATGAACCAAAGCAATCAAAATGTCATAAAAACACGTCTGGAAGCTCATGTTAAAATGCAATATGCAGTTCGTCTCATAACTTTAAACCTATTCTAATTCTAAATTTTGACACTAGGGTTTTTATAGGATTCGCCATTGAAATTATGGTAATCCTTTCGAGGTTGTACGCAATAGCAAAAGTTCATTATATACAACTTAGTTTACATTATTTCCTCATTACTACTCCCTATTTTCAACTTCGAATCCAGAAATCCCATCAAAAAATTCACTCAAATCTTTTACACTACATTAATTTGATTTCTAAGCTTTTAATGGTGAATTTTGAAGGCTCAGTTCTTAGTAAAAAAGTTGTTTATCTAGCCGGTAAGCGTATTACTGAAAAATGCGCATTTAAATACTAATTCCAAATCTGTCCTTCGTATCCTTGAAAGTTAATTCCAAGAAGAGTTATAATGGTTTGTTTCTGATAGATGTCCTCGCCAAGTTTTCTTGGATCCTCGCCAAAATCCACAGCGCTCGCGCTCCTAATTATCTCCTACGGCTACAGGCGGCAGGCCTTTGGTCCCTCCTGCACCGCATCCGCTCTGTACACTACGTAGAGAAGATCTAGTGAACTTTGCTTAGTTGCTTTCATACATAAAAACTAGGAAAAGAAACTGATACCACTTACTTCGATGCGTCCTATGATCAATACATCTTACGTGAGATATGCACGTTACAGATAGGTTACATATTGAGCCGAGTGTTCTTCGAGCTTCGATGGAACAACGTAGAAAAAACGAATCGAGCAAGCACGTACCGTCTGATTGTTGAACTTCAATAATCCATCCGCTGGCCCAGCTACGTAAAGACGGTTTTTACTATCTAACATGCCGATATCACCTTAACAACTAGGATTATTCGTAGTACTTCAAGTTTATGGTGAATTCATATGATGAAACAAATTTATTAGTGAATATACAATTTAGCATGTAGGAAGAAAATAATGGCAAACCCATGTACCTGTTCGCATGTATTTGTTTTTGGTGAACATGTCGTTGATGTTCCCGCCCATATAGCTGGAGCACCTAACAGGAGCTTGAAGCAAGATACGACCCCATTCACCGGCTTCCAGTTCCACATCTTCGTCAGAGTCGGTTATCTGTAAAGATTAACAACATTATTGTTAATTCCCAAATAAATGGAGTTAACGTAATTTTCGATCTCGACCTTGACATTGATTCCTTCGCAGGTAGCCCCGCAACTCAGTGAATTCGCATCGTCAAAGTTTTGCAGTCCACATGAGATTAAGCCATATTCGGTTATAGAGTAAGCTACAAGAAAAGAAGAATCTATTTCCAAATTCGCAAAAGACAATATTCTTACATTGGACGACAGAAGCGCCAGTGGCATCGTGGAACTTTTTCGCAACAGATACCGGCAGTGGTGAACCACTGTACGAAACCACCTGCAATCCTTATTAGTGAATAGGTGTAGCATTTAATGCAACAAATTTGCTTTTTAAAAAGTTGATATCGCACTGTGGCGAGATTACTGACATTGAAAAGTGGAAAGACACATGCAAAGAAGCGCTCCTTCGTATTTTAAGCATATAGGAAGTTCTATGCATTTATAAGTGAGTCGCTGATGCAGGAAACGCACAAGCTACGTATACTCGGCGATGCGGTTGCAAAAAAACGGCTGAAGATAGTCAGGATCAAAATATGACCAGCATTTGTAGTTTGCAGCTGATTCTTAAACAGAAAATCCAGTTCCGCAAAACGAGCACCACCATCACCACCACCACAAGTTTTTATCTCACACCACTCAAACCTACCTTCAAAGAACTGATGTCAAACAGTTTTTCCGTCTCGTACTTGACGAAGCTTTTCAGGAATTGAGCGTTGCATGTGATCAACGCTACCTGAAAACTGGTCAGTTAGATCTCAAATTTTGCGTGGACAGGCATTGCGCTCCGAGTTAATCTCAGAGCAAATAAGCCGGCTGCTGCGTGAAATTGAGAAGTCTCGATAAATTATAGGGGCCTACAGGATCGCGAGAGTCGGACGTGCGTACGGCCATTACGCCGCGCATGTCCGATGTCACTAAGGCAGGTGCCAAACTTATCCGCTTCAGCCGGTTCGTTCGGTTCATAGGTCAAATCACTACACTGTCCAACAGCAAAGGTAGTGAACCGAAACTGTCCAACATGATAAGACTGGCACCTATCTAAGTCGTCGGACGCACATCTGACGTGCGTGGCGCAATGGCCGTATGCACGTCCGACTCTCGCGATCCTGCAGGCCTTTATAGCAACATGCGTAAGCAAACAAACAACAAACAAACATCGTATAGGCGTATCAGCTCGGCTATTCGATCAAGCAAGGAGACCGCCCAAACTTCTGAATTCGACTCGGTGATGATGACGGTCTGATCTGATATGAGCGAGTAGATGAGCAGTGACCAAGCATCGATGGTGTGAAGGCCACTAGTTATGAGCAGATGTGTTCGCGACTCAGCTACCATGTCAAAGAGATGCGCCATTAGAACGTCCAAGTGCTGTGTGCATAGTCGATGAGCACTGATGGAACCATGTGCCACAATTTTGCTCTTGTGCGAATTGGTACCACTGAAAAGCGTTTGAATTACGTACAGTCTGTTTCAGGCCGATACAACCCGAAGCATTTCATAAAGCGACGCTCCCCCGTCGTTGGAGGTTCGCGCCAGTCGGGGAACCCACAGCGCTGGCATTTTGCCACACTGTGATCAAGAATAAGCAGACATAGGTCCCTCGACGATGTGTTACTGCTGCTGTCGTGATAAGCGACCGCTGCGAAGCGGATGCGTTGCAGGAGGGACCTAAAGCCTGCCGCCTGTAGCCGTAGGCGATAATCAGGAGCTCGAGCGCTGCTTAGGAGATTTTGGCGAGGATCCAGAAGAACTTGGCGAGGACACATTGTCAGACAAACCCTTATAGCTCCACTTGAAAGTAACTTACAAGGATACGAAAGACATTTAAAATCAGTATTGAAATGCGCATTTTTTTTCAGTAGTATGCCTACAGGATTGTTAAACAACTTTGTCTTGCTACTGTAGTTCTATTTTTACCAGAAACTGAGCCTTCAAAATTCATCAAAAGCTGAGAAATTTCAAGTTCAATGTTGTGTGAGAAACTTTAACTGAATTTTTTAGTGAAATGTCTGGATTCGAAGTCGAAAGAGGGAGTGGTAATCAGGAAATAATGTTAACTAGGTTGCCTATGATGAACTTTTGCTATTGTCTACGATCTCTAACCGAAATAGTTTCAAGGGCAAATCGTATAAAAACTCTAGTGTCAAAATTTAGAGTTGAGATTTGAAGATATAAGACAAACTGCATATTGCATCTTGACACAAGTCTCCGAATGTGTTTTTATGACATTTTGGTTGCTTTGTTTCATTGACTTAACAGGCAAACTATTCTTTCATCTCGAAGAAAAACGAATGAATTTTGAATGAAAATCCCGGTCTTCAGCAACTTAAAACCTCAAAATTCATGAAACAGAATGTCCCTACAAGAAAGCCGACTTCTTACCACTACAATTCCCAATTTTCACTTACTTTTAGGCCAAGTGAATGCGCCTTCTAATTTGCACTACAAATCTGTTTTTCAAATTTTTCAAAGTCATCTCCAGGGATATTATGAAGAATTGTTCCTAAAGGATGTCCTTGCCAAGTCTTCTTGGATCCTTGCTAAAGTATTCTACTCTCCACAGCGCTCGGGCTCTTGATTATCTTCTGCGGATACAGGCAGCAGCCCTTGGCTCCTCCTGCAGCACTCCCCTGCGGAGCGAATCATCATCGTTTTGGGGTTTGTGCCAATGTGAACGGTAGAGATAAGTGTGGTCCAGACCGTGTTGTAGGGTTCCTACCGTATTTACCAAAGCTCCGCATGCCTTTCCACCTTTGCACCGACTTTCACCCCGGGCACTTCACTTGATTCAGTCGCCAATGTGGCAGTTTGCCAGACGCCTTGAATTTCAACACTCGCAGATTACAAATCCATGATGTATAAATCCTCATAGATAAAATCCTCTACCTTCCATACATTTGGAATGCACCTACGATATCTTATAAACGTTTGGATTTTGTCAAATGGCGTCGCGAAATTGCGTGAAGCATGTACGAGGCATTTGGTCTTCTTCAACCATTCCTTGTTGCTTCTATGCCCACGCGTCGAAGTCAACATATGGCCTGCGTTGCAGGTAACGAGGGAAAAACCTCAGGACACAGAAATAGTAACAAAAGATGCTTTCTGCTGAACTAGAGATGAGGTTGAGAAGCAAGATCAAGTGTCGTTGAGCTTTTTCTTGGAAAGAAATTGAAGATCATTATCAGATACATATAGATTCTGATGAGGTGATTTGCGCAAACTGTGGTTGACAGAAGTGGCTTCAAATTTACCGCCTTACGTTACCCTACTCTAGGTCAAAACAGACTATACACCTTCTTCACAATAACTGCTAAAAAAATCTTGAATTCAGATTTGCAATATTATATGGAGAAAACTCCTATGTACGAAAGATAGAGAGAGTATAAAGAATCTAGAAATCTAAGATAACCTTTCTTTAGGACCTCCCACCAACAGATCAACAAAAAATACTTTAAAGTTACTCTGGTAACAGTTCATCACCCTCGGAAGGCAAAGCACCCAAGGACGAGAACCTTACATGGATCCTATTGGTCATAAAGCGCTTTATCACTAACAATAAGCGACTCTGCCCTTTTTGTAGTCGGGGGGGGGGGGGGGGGTGCACATGTAGGTTGTGCTCTATCTGCATCTAGTAATTTGATAATTCATTTGGGTGATAGCGTTTTGGTGAAATTTCATCAAATACCGACCTTGTAGAGAATGCAACAACATCGCGGTCGGCGCTTTCTTCAGGGATGACATAAGTATCAGCGGGAAAGTCCGCGTAACCGGATCCATCGATAATCCAGACAAAATGTGGAATGTACAAGCTTGCCAGGTCGTTTGTGAAAACAAATATTTGCTGAAAAGAGTGCTTCATTGTGAGTGAATCAAGATCAGTTGTTTTTGTCGCCGACGTCAACTCGTGAAAGTGCTTTATGCGTACCTTGGCGCTGACGCCATGCAAGCACTTACCGGATGACCGCAAAGCAAAACTCAGCAAACCTTTGCTCCAACAAAATGATCGAATAGTTTCAGAACGTGAGCGTAGTGATACTTGTCGACAAGCACAGCATTGCAGTTGAAGCGAGGAAAACTTCCGGATCCTGAGAGTGACATTTAGCTTCTCACTTCAATCTCTGTGCTTTTAACCTACCTACGCGGCCAGGATTTAGCAACACTGGGGCTGCACCAATGAGGTACAGACCGATTTGCATGTAAACGAAGTCCATGCTGTTATTCAAGCACATGGCTACATGTGACCCTTGCTCGATACCATGATGGTGAAGAAAGTTAGCAGCCCTGTTCACATTCTTTACCAACTCATTGTAAGTGATATATCTCCTTTCGCCAATCTCATCGATCTAAATGAGGAGAATATCAGTTTATAGATTATACCAAGAAAATTTGCAACCAGTTTCATGAGCAGAGCATCATGTAGTGTTCTGGAGCAGACTAAATGACCTCCGTTATGGATGAAGTTTATAGATAGAGCAATCCCACAGATGATGGGGCCTTTTAGTTTTTTTAGCAGGATTCAAGCAGCACAGTATTAAGTGCTCGAAGAATCGACAAAACTAGATCGTTAAGAAAATTCAGGTGAGCAGGAATAGTAAAATCACAAAAAAGACGTATACCGGTAAAACTGGAGAAGTGAAATCACTAAAAAGACGTATATCGGTGAAATTTGACAAACTTCAATTACGTTTTGATATATGAAGTAGTCGTGTTAACGACACAAGGGGACCCTTTGGGGTGCAAGTTAACATGCCGAAAAATTTGTTTCTTCACAATACTAAGCCAAAAATGTAAATCAGGTTTCGATTGTAAGTAGTTAAGGGATACGAAAAGCTACTGCAGTCGACGGAATATGCTGGACTTCTTCTTTAACAGGCTTTTATGCCTTCTGTCTTAACTGAATCTATCTGCTGCAAGTCGAACACTTTGCGACTACTTCTTTAGCAAGATTCATGCCATCCTCCATTTCACTTGAATTCATAGACTATCTTTTGTCACATTATGAAACGTTTGGTAACCAAAGTTCACAGTGCAAGTCCAAACAAGATGTTTACTACGTATTAGTCACGATAATGAGCAGATTATGAGGATGTGGGGGTTTATACATATAGGTCGTCGTACGATGTATGACGATCAATCAAACAATCGGGGTGTATTGTAGAAGCTCTGAAGTTATTACATTCTACGGATTACGAACGGCTTTGAAAGAACAAGCTCTCTAGACTAAATATCAAAGCAGCGTAACACTATGAAGCTGAGGCTCATGTAAAGAAAAACAACCAGGCTTGGTAGGAAGGTTTTCGGCCGAACCACAGGAAGTCGTAAAATCATAGGCCATGGTGATGCAAATTCTGTTGCTGATTGCAAAATGCATGGAAAGCAAGCAAAACTCTTGAACCAGCAAATTGCTAAAAGACCTTATGGGTATTCCTTTACACTTCCCAGAAAAGCATATCGTGCAGACATGTGGAGCAAGATATATGTGCAGAGAAGATACCTTCTAGAAAACAAAAGTGGCAAAATTGGCGAAATAGATCATATGCAGTAGATCATATGCAACAATGATGACATCATCCACTTTAACAAAGAGAGTTGGAACACGAAATGTGGAAATAAGGCAGCTGAGATTCGTATTAGATGCTTACCAGAGCGACATGATCAGGGGTCCTTTCATAGATTTTCGTAATCTCACTGGATAACCATCGACTCCACGAACTGCAATCTTCACGATTAGCTCTAGTCAGTCTCAGGATAGGAATATTGGTGATTTTGGGTGAGGGTGGCGATTGCTGCGCGGCTCCATGATGCATCTGTGCGAACTCGCCCTGTAGATGTGATTGCTGTTCCGATAAATTCGCTCGGTCGTCAGCATCCTTTGCACCAATATCATCGATTTCTTCGTTTGCTTCGGTCCTGAGAGGTTCTACGTCAGTGAGTGTCAGTTTGTCTTCGTCGTTTTTCCCCTCTAGAAAGCCATTCGGAAGGCTTGGGCTTGCTGAAGAGAGGTCTTCTGCATCTGCTGCGACCGTACTCGTCAGATGGACCACTGTGACGAGGTCTTCACTGTAGGATGCATCGTCGCTATTCACATTATCTGCCGCAGACGCGCTAGCATCCCTTGTTTCATCAGCAGCATCTCCATCTTCGGACGGTCCACCGCTGGAGTGAGCGTTATCCGTGGTAACGGAGACCGAGTAGTGATTCAGGTCGAAACTGGGGACTTCCATTATAGTAAGGGTGGAGTTACTTTTGGGATAGGCGGCAATGGTTTCCATGACAGCTAGGAAGTGATTGCGCTGAACCGCTCCAGAAAGTAGGAACGTGCAGTGATAGTGTACTGTTTGCTCGCTGATCTTGGAGAAAGAGGAATCTTCGCGGCACTTGCCGAGGATACTTATCTCAACCATCGCAGCTCGCTCATTTTCTCACCGTTGACACTAATCGTCAATTTGTTTGATTACCACCGGTGGAGTACCTAATCCAAATTTGGAGTTTTCGATACTACTCGACATTCTCGGAAAAGAATACAGCTTTCGGGTATTCAAATAAGTGAGAATCTGCAAATGGAAGAGTTGAAGCCGCGGCGGATACTTGAGAACTTGTTTGTGTTAGATGGCATGTTGTATGAAACCTCCAAAGTAAACATTAGCAGCAGAATACTTCTCAATTGTGCCACTCAACGGAACTCATTCATCACGTCTAAATCATGTGTTTGCCTTCCATTTGCAATTTGGTGACGATTTCATGCACACGATACACTGTTTAAGATGAGTTTTACCTGCTTCTAGAGAGCGCGAAGTGAAGGAACATTGTGCGAACAACAATTGCAAATATAATCAAATAATCAAGTAAAAACAAACGGAACAAGATTTCAGTACATCATTTTCACTCAATTATGGTATCTCACAGGTACACTAGGAGAAAAACGACAGTTTTCGTTATTGTGGGCACACTATACAACAGAAGTGCGCTTTTACAAAAAAAATGGGTGTTAACGGTACGATAATTTAGTATCGATCACAAACCCCGCTGGACAGTGACCAGTAGAGAAGCACTTTAGAAGGAACCAAAGCAGATTAGGCACTCGAACATTAGCTCTGACAATGAGATCTTTGTATTAAAATCTCGACCATGCACCATGTTAACGACTGACTTGGCAAATTAATTACAACACGAATCATTTCATTTTGGTTCCAATGTTGAGTATCAACGCTTTGATTGCCCAGCTTAAGACATCTGTGGAAGAAGATGGTTGAAATTTTGACAACCGGAAATTATGCCTGATTAGTGTACTTCCCTCATATACAAGACCACACCGAATATATTTGGCAACAAAACTGTTCTTAGCATTGTATAAAGATACATATAAAGCAACTGCCACCAATTACAAAAAGTAGAAGTCTGATGCATTTGATATGCTTTGCTTACTAGTTGTACACGGCATTGCAGGTTCACTCCACCGGCACACTTTTCCTTTCGTTATGTTATCTATAACAACTTCGGAGTGATCTTTCAGCAGATTTGAGTGCATAAGTGGTCAGCGTCTAAAAGCGATCAATCGTTCACTTTGCAAGTCGCTACTACGATTTTCTGTTCTTCCCTGTCTAAAAACAGGATATTATGCACAACTACCTGCTTGACCCAATTACTAACGGTGTTTGATTGATGGTTTGCTGTGGGCCCGGCGGCTGGGTAGAGGAACGAGCACCTCAACCAGGCACCCCCTCCGCGGACTGCTGGTCTTTCGCCCTACTGTTGTGCATCGCATAAGGACCAGTAGTCCGTGAAGGCGGTGCCTGATTGAGGTGTTCGTTCCTCCACCCCGGCGGCTGGCTATAGGAACATAAAATCGAGAATGGCAGCATATATTCGTTACCCGCATACTTTCGATACAAGAGCCATGTACTCTGGTGACCTTCACTGTGAGCGATAAAAGAGAATACAACCTTCACCAAAAAAAGAATTATTTGGGGCGAAGATTAAGATCAATTATATTGAAATTAATGTGAATGAAATGAGTGTTGTGAGTAATATCTCAAAAGTATCCCAGCAAAACCGAAAACTCGCTTTTATGGCTTTCTTTTTTGACTAAAAACGAGGTTGTGTAGATTTCCATAGAAAGCAGGACAACGTTTCTCAACTAACCTCTTTAGGTTATGGTCGAGTTTCAAAAACTAAGGTACTAAGGTGAGCTATTGTAGTTCAATAGAAACAAGAAACTGCTTTTAACTATTGTGCAAAGAGTCGCGCACGTAAATGCTGGTTTATCTCATTTAGAAGTGATTCTCAAGTCTTGCGACGCTGTCATTGCTCCTAGTCGTGTCTTGAGGATCAGAATGATATATTATTGTAAGATCTCGTTGAGATCCCGAGGAGATCTACGACCAGAGTCAAATAACCCGTCGGCTCTGGTCCTTCTCCTTTGCTCGTCTAGGTCTCCGCGCGTTGCGGGCTACCTCGCCCCCAATCGCGGGGTACGGGGCATTGACTTTGGTACCCTTTTTTCCTTGTTTCGAAATTGATTGCAGCAAACATATCTTATTGAAGCTCTTGACCTCTACTTTCATGCTGACAACGTCGCAAATCCCATTTTCTGATTTAAACGAGAAGTATAACAATTCACAACTCTTGTTCTAGTATTTCTTTCATAGATCAATATTTGTTTTTGTATTTTCTCCGATTTAGTTCTTTTCAAGCGATTTTTTCGTGCATTCGATACATGTTGCTTCTGTTTATAATGCAGACAACGTCGCGGGGCTAACTTCTTCGATAATGGTGAGATATCTGGCAAAAAGCAGCAAAAGTGTGCTTTTGCTCATAGGCCTTGATTGGACTCATTGACCGATTGACGACGATGTGGACCACCGGTGGCCTACAGTCTGCCCCAATCCTAACCAGGCCAAAATTGGCATGGCGGGATTCCGCGTCGCTAGGGTTTCGCGGTCACGCCCACGGCCTGCTTCTCCGCTCTCTCTTCAATCCTTGTGCTCTCTCCGACAGCGCGCATATGCGCGCAGACCGTTAACGCTGCGAGCGCGCAAATTTACGCCGACGGTTAGGCCTGATCCCGATTGGAGCAGATTGTACACCTCTTAAAAAGTCATATCTCTTGTAGGTCTAGTATTTCTTTCATAGATCAATGTTTTTTCCAACTTTCCATTCTTGGGATCCGTCGTTCAAAAAAATGTTCATAGTTATCTACAAAAACCCTGCATTTCATAAATAACCACAAAATATTCCCACGCCGAAAGTGTCGCGCAAAATCGCATCGTCCCACAACGCTGCCACGCAAAATTCGACGTCGTCGTCAATGGGTTAAGCAACCATTTCTCGGACGTTTGGGGGCGACGCTCAGGATTATAACAAGACTGACAACGTCGCCAAATACAGAAACAACGAACAACCACAACGAAAACGCATCGAAAACTAGCTTAACACGTTTCGGGCGAATTCGCGCGCGGCGAAAAAGAGTGTACTTTTGGCCGTTAGCCAACAAAGGGACCTTATTTCGCAGACTGTGGACTATATCTGTAATCAGCATGACCGATAAGCTCCATACCCAAAGTTCTGAGTGAATTTGAAGTGTTTGAATTTTGTCGCTTGAGAGGGGCTTTTGTGCTTTCTTGAAAGATAGGAGCAAGAACTCAGTCTCAAATAGAATCTTAAAGTATCTATGTTGTACACTGTACACATTATTGAGACTACGGTTTATCTCTTTGAAATCGAAGCAAAGAAAAGTGCGACGTCGCACGCGTCGTTCGCGTTGCCGCACTTCTTTGCAACTGCTGTTCGATTTGTCCTCATATCTCCTAAACAAATATCGGCGGCACAGCTCTACAAGGTTACTTGAAAATTAGGAGCTTAGACCTTTGACTCAATAACCATGGACTAAAAGAAAAGTTCTTGCAAACGTAGAAAGATCCTCTAATGCAGCGTGCTGCACCATGTGCAGCACCGGTCCGAAACGTGTTAACTTTGAGTGCATTTCGACTTAGTCAAAACAAAATTTTACGTTTTTGTAAGTGATTCTTTTCTTGTTTGTCTTCTTAATCACCACTTCCGAAATATGTTCGTTTTAAGAACAATTGCAAAGAAGAGACTAGCGTCCCCTCGTTTTCCCTGTGTTGTGGATTGCCTGGTCCCGGAGCAAAACTGCAATCCGAAATGAAATGCCTCCAAACGGAAATTTCAAACTCATTGCAGCGTTTTCATCCGATTGTTCTTCTGCTTCTGCCATTTGTTTCGCATTTTTCTTTCTTCTCTGTTTCCCAAACCTTCACTTTTTATGGGTAACAGATATTAAAACAATGTTTACTTTTGAGGCCTTGTCTCTAGGCTATCGAAGGTGTGGCTACCCGGGTTCAGCATCAAAGAGTTCCCATCATCCGCTGGTGGTATTGTGGCGCTACTTAAAGGCAGTGGATCGGCAAAATCCAACAACTCGGGATTTTAACGCGGTAGGTTCCTTATCACCCAAGTATGAAAACAGTGCAATCCCGGTTGCACAGAATGCTTTCCCTGCCGAGAAAATCGCTCTCAAACTTACACGCGCAGGCCAATCTTACACGCATCTGGACAAGTTGGCAATTTCCTTCTCACCAATGGAGGCTGCCCGCCGCAACGCTATAACCATTGGATCCAGCCACGATTTAGCGTCATCGGCCTTGCTCCACTCGTCCAATTCCAAAGGGAAGAGCATTAAAAACGCTCATTTTCGCCGTTTTCAAGCTTTCAAAAGTGGATTTTCGGGATCAGCGTATTGAAAAACCCCAGGTAAGCGCAGATTTGACTAGGTTGAGATTTGCCGAGCCACTGCCTTTAAGCCACGGACACGATCAAGGCCTTCCACAACATGTTCAAAATTCACCACTCTTTCTCTTAGCTTTGAAGAGAAGCCTCCGCATGATTTTTTGTCGAGAAATGTTATGTGGACAAAGCTGTATTGAAAAATACTTACCAAAGCTTTTTGTGTGCACTGCGCGCTCCAATATGCTATGGCAAAAACACGTGCTCACAAAAATATTGGTTACTGTACACTGCTAAATCACGTAAGCGCTAAGTGACTACCACGGTCAAGCGTGGGGTGTGACACGCCACACCTGGGGGGTCGTATTGAGGAATCAGGGAGAGGGGGGGGGCCGTAATCAAGGCGTCCGCTATTCGCATGGCATGATATTCGTTAACAATGTTAAATAGGCCCGTCATGGAAAATGCAAGCACATTGATATTTGATTATCGTATACGCACAGTAAGCATAATTAAAGATCTATAAAGCATAAGAGCATCGTTTTGTAATCAGCAAGTAAAATAACCCATCTGGTCCAAGTTTCAGCGAATTCTGAGGTTTCCAAATACAGGACCACCTAAGTGAGGTGGTCGTTTTCAAACATATTACTTTGTTTCAAAG